AACAAAATCCCGCTATTCTTGACGACCTGGGCGAGCAAGAATTCGAAGTCGACTCAATAATACGAGCCAGGACAGCGAGACGCGGCCGTGGTAGTTTTAGACAGGCCTTGGTTAAGTGGACTGGCTGGGTAGAACCAACATGGGAGCCAGTTGAGTATGTCGCAGACACAGCAGCTTTGAAAATATTTGAGGAATTGTACGGCCCAATTTTAACAAATAATGGACCTTCAGAGACTAGTTCAGGCAGATATGTTGGTCAAGCTGAGCCTCATGTTCAAAAAGCGCGGAAGGAACGCCAAAAAAAAAAAAATTATAGTTAGTCTATGAGGAAGATAGGGGGGATTGTGACGGCTGTTAAGCCTAAGGGTTCCTGTAGCCTACGCTGTCTAGCGCAGGCAATTATACGAAGGGAGGTTCCTGGGAAGATCTTGGATGACAGGGAACCTAGATGATTCACATTGAGCCTTGTTGAAACCTACTGAGGGTTCATGAGGGTTACAGAAGTATCAAGGATCTACAGGCGATTGTCGGAGAGTCTGAGTTGACAGGTCATAGAGAGAACCTTATCGAGGAGGGGTATTTCAGTCTGTATATATAGGTAGTCATTAAGTACAGAAATTCTCTCTTCAGAGAATTATAATTAAAATATTGTACCTACAACATTGCTCATGCATTTTGTAATGAAACCGTGACAATTAGTGAGATGGAAACAAATTTCTTCGGCATACTTTTCAACCCTCTCGATTGTGTCAAGAGCTGGTGGTGGTCAAACCCACTGTGCAATTACCTTGGCGTATCTGGGTAGCTTTTCCTTTGTTACTCGGAGTTTTGCCTTTTCGGGTCTCATCACTGAGTTGCGAACTAGAATTTGTCCTCGGATAGGGAAGTGATCGCTGGTGACACATTCACCACAATCTACTTAAGCACGGGCGCCGTCGACATTACTCCAAACTAGATCTAGCGTGTTTCCAGCTCGGTGAGTGGGCTCCCCAACAATTTGGCAGGTCAAATGGTGTTCGTCTGCTCATTTTTCGATCATTTCTCCTTGTCCATGAGGACGTTCCACGCCAGGTTGCCAAGCCCAATATACCGAGTTAAAGTTCCCAGCAGCGACAGAGTTTGGCAGTGGAATGCAGTTGATGAGTAGCTGGATAGCTGCCGAGTCATTGGGTGCCTTGTAGACGTTGAGAAAAGTGATACTGTTCACTTCAACCCACCAGTAGTCTCCTGTTGACACAACATAAGGAAAGATCTGTGTTGCCGATATCTTTTTATCGTCTATCCGGGTATAGGTCACAGCCCTCGGCCTAACATTTTCGCCGCCATTAGGCAGATGATAGGTATATCCTGGGTGATCCTTTGTTGTATTTTTTTATTTGTTCCACAGAGGTTCTTGAACAAGAACCACGTCGATACACAGCTCATATGCTCGGGCAAGCGCAATGTTTTGCGTTGAGCCACCTCTACCTACGTTTATTGACATAAATATTAGTAACTTAGTCCTTGTATTGTGTAATGATCACTTTAAGGAGTTCTAATATAAAACATGGAAGGTAGACTTGTCTATGAAATCAACTCGTTAGAGGTGTAAAATAATAATCCATCAAAACGGATCCAACACTCGAGATTTACATCTTGAGTGAGGGTCCGTGCATGCTAACAAAACAACCCAATAACCACGTGATAAACAAGCTAATTGTACAGGGTATCTAGCTCTCCGGTTCTCCTAACTCCTGGCTAATGATGACAACTCAGACCCATAATAAGGGTCATGAGGATCCTGGAATTGCAATGCATTAGACTTATTTCTCAACAATAAAGCTTAAAGTAGGAGAGAGGCTTGAAGAGACCCGTGGGGTGCCCTTCACAAAGATTTTTGCTGATTTGATGCCTCATCGACCTCGGCTACAGTCGCTGTAGCGTCGGACATGAGAACTTCAAAACAGTTGGTCGATTTGAAACCTGGCTGGTTAGTATTTGACGCTTCTGTGGCTACTGTCATCGCTGCCTCTGCGCGTCTGACAGCTGCTTTGGCCCGAGTAACTGCCGCGAATTCGCGTTGGCTAGCCTGCCTGATGGTCTGTAGGTTTTCCTTCGAGGCCATTCCAGACTTTGTAGGGCGAGCTAGACAGTCCCGACTATCTGATTTGTGTGGACCTCCGCAGTTGCGGCACTTGGTGTGTGCCTTGCACTCCGCGATGGAATGCATAGTTGAAGTACAATTCCAGCAGACTGGGGCACGCGAGCAGCCCCTGGTGCCGTGGAATTGTAGGCATCGTTTGCACTGGTTGATGCTTTGACGAGGCTGGTGGCGGACTGCAATCCCAGAGTCGTCGAAAAGTCGGAAACCTGACCGAGAAATCGATGCTTTTTCAAAAAGGGATACCCACGACTGGTATGGGGCGCCCGGTCGGCTTTTCCCGTGTGGGCGAACTTTTACCGGGACAGCTTTGGTGACCCTGACTATCTCGTCGGCCACCATCTTTTCTGTGATGAGAACTTTGCCCATTATTGTGTTAATTGCGACTGGGACCGTCGCTATTCTAAGGGAAGCCAAGTCCGAGGCTTTCTCCAATATCGCATCCTGCTGGGCGAAGGATCCAGCTAGGCTAAGCATCAGCGCGCGTGCCTCTTGGTTTTCGGCTCTGATTGCGAAGCCAGTTGGCACACGGTAGACATGCTCAATTTTTGTTTGGGGGATTTCGAGCATTTGCGTAATTGCTTCCCCAACACCGAAAGGTGAGAGTTTTCGCCAGGGATGTTCTTTTTCTAGACGGAGAAACAAACGTTCGTCTTGCACAGCCGGTTTTGTTGGCCCGGTTGAATTCTGGGCCATTCGAGTCGAGTTTGCCGCCTTGGGCATTGCCTGCGCGACTTTTGTAGGTGCCGGGAGCGTTTGTAGACCATTACGGGTGACCGAGGCCCAAGTGATTTTGGCCTGGCGCACTTCGGCTTGAGCCGCTTCGCGATGTGGCTCACTTTGCTTACCAGCAGCATATTCTGCGGTCTTGCAACTAGTAGCCTGGCTTTCTGGGCGTGGGGGAAGTGATGGGAGGACTGTACCCGGTCCCGAGATCATGAATTGAGCTATTGCAGCTCTAATGTAGACTTTCATAGAGTCTATAAATTGAACACTCGACCCTTTGGATAGGGGGGAGAGAGCATTCTCGACACCGTTTATTGCAGCGGTGTAAATTTTTACATTTTCCGCAGTTTTTGCGGCCCGGCGTTCCTCAGCCCCAATTAAGGCTCTGAGTTCGGGGGGGGCATTCCTCCGTCTACCTGCCTTCATTTCCACCGTGAGGAGAAGGATTCTCTTCTGTGGTTCCTGGTGTATGTTCCAGGGGGTTCGGGGTAGATGCTGCACCTTTTGTCTTGTTAGCATCTGCAATCGCAGCCCGCCTCATAGCCGGCACAGCGACTTCTATGAGAGGAATTATATGCTGCCCGGTAGTCGCTGTCCCTAAATTTTAGCGACTCGTCGCTGCATTTCCAGCTCCGGTCGCATCTGGCTTGGAGTGAATTGAGTTGGGTAGTCTTTTCAGATTCTTAAGAATCTTGTCAATGTCAAAGTTGCCAACATCTATCATATCGCAATCTATGGTACTTTCGTCGATTAATTGGTCGATGTTCATCTCTTGAACGGCAGTCAGTGGGCCCAACTTGACGCTTGCTTTCTGTCGAGCAACGTGTTTGAGGTGCTTGCGGTTATCTACGATGTCTTTGGCCCGCGATGGCTTACTGCGAACTGGGGGCATATTGGTAGCCTGCTAGTCGCTCACAAATTTTGAATTAAGGGCGAACGATATCACGATATCGAGAGAGGGAGGGAGAGGGGGAAAACAGAGATATTCGAAAATTCGAATTCCAAAAAATTGTGTGTGTGTGTATTTTTATTGTACTACTTGAGTCTATGACTATCTAGCACATTGGGCTCCTCTTTGACCCAGGCCACACCCTGTACAGTGTTCCTGTCCTCTTTTGTTACTTGAAAGATCATTGATATGTTCCCCTTTATGAATAGCCATTCAGCTCAGTGTTTACCCGTGGAATTCAGCCACCTTTTCCACTGAACCTTCTACCCAAAAAAAATACAAATGGTAGCAATGGAAACTGCGTGCGCGGGAAAAAGTCTCAAAAACCTGCAGCCCTAGCCAGGCGAGGCCTAGACACCGGGACTACATGAGGTGCGCATATTCATCTATATCTCCCTTCTTTGTAACCTTCGAGGCCGACTTGATCCAGTCCACCATCTCCGTATCGGGTGCTGGGTACGCTCCGGAAACTCATCGGATGGCATCTCCTCCGTGATCAAGGGTTGATGATGAGTAGGGCTCTGACCCTACCATCTAATCTGATCGTGGTTGGCTTCATGATAATAGTGATCGGGGGATGTGTTGAGAGATGAAGACGATACAGAGCGCGAAAGCGATTGGAGATCCTCAGCGAAGTGAGGACATTGTCATTCAATTTCGGCTCTGCAGACTCTACAGTGAGAGCTGTAGGTTCATAGGGGACACCACTGACAGGTGTTGAGAATAGTCCCCCTCCAATTCTACTTTTGAATCGGCGTCTACACAGAAAATGCGTGAATGAATATCTGCTACAATTTTGATCAAAGATGGTAATTCTGCAACTGTAAACAGGCGTCTAATCAACATTTCTGTCTCTACACATTATTCTTTGACTTGTTGAGAGGTATTATTAAGTGTCACGATAAGCACTGCTGATCTTGGATAATAACATATATGCGTATATGTTTGTAGATTATTGTATTGCTGATGGCTTGTTGGGTCTATACAGCTGAAGCAGAATGGCTTGGTATCTACGTGAAGAGAATTATTCTACTGAAATATATATTCGGCTGATCCCCGACGAATGATCTAGAAGTTTAAATCTGCAAAAATCTCGGGCACCCCCATGATAAACGAGTCTTTTTTTTTTTTTTAAATCATATTGTATTCAGCTAGCTAGCTATGACAAATATAAACGAGTCTAATTCAAAGCTTTGACTTGATAGCTTCTAGCCTAAATTTCACATCTTTTAATGCTTTCCTGGTAGGTTTCCAGTCGTCAAACATTTTCAGGAGATCTATCACTTCATCGTGAAATTTAGTTTTTACAATTTCCTCCTCTAAAAGACCACGCATAATCCAAGGCAGTATGTATGGGTTACCTGTTCTAGAGATCTCGTACTTCCTTATTTCAAGTGGGAAATCTCCTACAGATGTTGTCTGAAGTGAAAACTCCAATGCATGGCTATAAATTTTTAGTAAATGTCACATATTTTATCAATCACGTACTCATAGACCTTGTCCTCGTCATATAATCGAGAATGGCCCTCCCCGGTATATAAGCTGCCAGCAAGGGGCGTGGATAGTTCTCGTAACAGACCGTGATCAGATACCCCAAGGTTACGAAGCTTCAGAGCAAAACTGATTAGATGAATGAGACTGATGAAGTCGTTAGCTTTGGAGGAAATACAGATGCAGGTGAAACATTCAAGTCTAACGTGTGTAGGCGTGCATCTATAAATAGCACTCTATTTATATAAGGATGATCGGCTTTTGAGAAAACAGAGGATTCGATAGGAACAACCTGATCATCAAGGGAACCACAAAATGTGACTCTCACACCATACTTTACCAGTACATGAAGAGATCTGACATAATTTTTCGAGACTAGACTATCGGGATCTGAGAATTCAAAAAGCTCACCAGCTGAACCGGTAAATAGCCTAGACTTCAGGTCGGAGAAGGGTCCAAGTGAGACTCCAGCTTTGTAAATAATTAACGATGTTCCCGCCTAATGTCAATGGGAACTTGCCCATTGCACAGACACATATCCTGCCTAAATCAATCACACCAAACTCGATCAATTTAGCGACTAGCATGATGGCCACAGGAACACCCTGTGAATGGCAAGCAACGAATATTAAGTCGGCTTTCCGCAGTTGATCAATCCTTTGTAGTAAAATTTTCCACAGGTTCTCAACCCTATCAGCAATCTTTCCTTCACCTTCGAGTGCTATTTTTTCAATTTCACAATCAGTGACGTTATGTTTACTTATCCATCTTCGGATTGCCTCGGAAGCATGATTAGCAAATCGGACAGAGGTACCAGTAGGCTGCCCGATTACTATACGTAGTAGAGGAGCAGGAAAGAATCCATGGATACCAATAGCAACGGCTTTTTTCAATATAGGATAATCCTCAGTCAGAAATACACGTCGATCAGGTTTAAGCGGCTTAAGATGTAGCACTTGGTAAACCTTCTCAATAACTGTTGGAGGCTCATATATTCCGTACGTACTCCTCAATGAAGGAAGCAATATGTTAGGGGGGTTAATATTGATCAAAGGCTGTGTTTGGGCGGATGAGTAACTCTCTTGAATTAATTCACTCCTGGGGCTTTCTATCATGTCATCACGAGTAGTAAATAATGCTTGCTTGGATAACTTGCTTATATGTTTCATCAAGTTGTTTTCCGAACGCGTTATCTTTGCATTTATAGGAGTTTCAAACGACCCTGCTAATATAGCATCATCCGAAGATATAGGCTTACCTGGCATTAAAATTCCTTGTTCGATTCCATTTGACTGAGATGCCCGAGTATGGGGTGATGGGCACTGCACTTGTGTATTTGATGAATTAATGATAACTGGTAACTCCTTGGGAGGTTTCGTTTCGAGGTAACGTTTCAATATAGACAATAATAGTGCTGGATACCATGAGAACCATGGAGTGGAAGAAATTGATTTGATAGATGAAAAACATGGAGGCTCATCAAATTTTGAGCTTAGAAGATTTTCTATCTCAGAAGATAAGTTAACTTGACTGACACAGATATCTGAGTCCTTCTTGTTGACTAGTGAATGTCTTGCCCCAGTGGCCCACCATGTAGGCCACGAAGTCGCCAATTTTTGACTCTGCTCTATCGTATGTGCATCTTGTGAAGTGATTTCCAAAACAGGTGAGTATTTTGAGGCGAGAATGGATGAGCTTCCTATATACCTTCTAGCGATTGAGATGAGCTCTAAATATTTGCTCGAATTACCTTGGATACCTGCATCTCTCATATTACTACAATCAGTAAAATTATTGTCATTATTTAAGTTTGATATTTCCCAGTTGCCTGTTACTCTATTTTTTGACCCAATTTGAGTTTTTTCAGGTAACTGTAATTTACTGTAATCTGGTTCGACATTCGTTGAGTCTTGGACTACTTGGATTGGAACTGTAGAACTCTGACAGCAAACCCCACAATATTTATGCTTCTGATTATGCTAGATGTTTTCATTGTCAGCGAGTGTGAAGTCTTCCTGATGGAGAGAGCTAGAGTCTCACCCCTTCTGTAGAGGCGGATCCTCGCTCGACTGTATCTGACACGGCAAGTTCTTGTCTACTGTTGGTGTAGGTGTATGCATGATTTTGTTCCTTACTTAAATTATCACAACCTTTTGAGATGTCATGGTCAATTATTTCCGAAGAGGAATCTTTCCTCCATAAATTTAGAGAAGACTTCGTGCGATCCATCTAAGAATATTCGACTTGAGTGATGGTCGAGTCCGCCTTGTACCGCCTCGAAGATTTAGGCACCCTTTGAGTACAAGGCTGAGGCCAAGGCTATTGTCGCCAAATATTTTTAGAATTTTACTCATCGACCTTCTTCAGTTTTTTTCACTAACAAGCAGGAAAAATTAAACAAGATGGCGCCAGAAGCCAAGGTTCCCATGAAACGAAAAAGAGTTAAAGACGATGCGGAAGAATCAAAGTTTCCCAGAGGAGGTGCCAGTATATTGACCCCTCTGGAATACAAGCAAATTCAGATACAAGCAACCAAAGACGCTCTCTTTGAGCAACAAGAAACCACCTCAAGAGCTCAAGCAGAATGTGAAGGCACAAATACCAAACGCAGGAAAAGTGACGGTAAGACTAAAAGCAACGCAAAGAAATCTCTGCCAACAGAAGCGGAAAAAAGCCACCTCAAGATCGAAGGTTTGAATTTCAAGGTTAAAAAATCCTGCAACTTGTATCTCACCAACTTACTTTCTCTAGCGCCTAGTAGCAGGTTCTTTAGTCTTCGGCCAGGTGCATGAAATCAACGAACACGATATTGCTCTATCATTACCAAACAATCTGACCGGCTATGTTCCCATAACTTCAATCTCAAATCAATTTACTCAAAGAGTCGAGTGTGCTGCTTTTCTTTCAGAAGAGGAAAACGTTGATGAAAAACAAATCGATGATATTTCTCTAAATAAAATATTCAAGATTGGACAGTATCTAAGAGCCTACGTCGTATCCACCCATGAGGATGCTCGTCCCAACGCAACCAGTAAGCCTAAAAGACGGATAGAGCTTTCGCTTCTTCCCCAGCTCACTAACAATCTTGTTGCACATGATATCTTGGTACACAGTTCCATCATGGCCTCAGTAATTAGTGTTGAGGACCACGGTGTCATAATGGACCTTGGGCTAGAGGATAAATTTATAAAGGGCTTTATTTCATCTAATGAGTTAGATTACGGTTCAGATCCTTCAAATATTCAAGAGGGAGCCGTCTATCTTTGTTTTGTGACTGGTCTAAGTTCTAACGGTAAAGTAATCAAGCTAAGTGCGGATTCAAAAAAAATGGGAAATCTAAAAAAATCAAACTTCCTAACAGAGGTATCGAATATACAAGCTCTTCGTCCAGGAACTGCAGTCGAGATCTTAGTTACTGACATAACCGCCTGGGGGATAGCTGGAAAGTTCATGGGTATGGTTGATGCGACTGCTGATCTCATGCATTCAGGAGCCGGAAGCAGTTCAAAAGTTTTGGAAAAAAAATATAAGATTGGTTCGAAAGTTAAGGGTAGGCTTATATACACAATTCCAAACGCCGAAACATTGAAGTTGGGTATATCATTTTTGGATCACATCATATCTCTAACACCAAAATTTTCCTCAAAAAGCACTGGAAACCAAGATCCAATCAAAATTTTGCCATTATCAACGATCCTCGAGAAAGTCACCGTGAAAAAGGTTGAGACAAATGTAGGCCTGCTGCTCGATGTTGGCGTCGAGGGTTTCCTCGGGTTCGCTCATATCTCTCGTATCAGCGACAGCAAAATTGAGACGCTATCCGAAGCAACAGGGATATATAAATTAGAATCCACTCATCGAGGAAGAATAATTGGATACAGCCCAATGGACGGAATTTACATTGTGACGTTACAGCCTAGCGTAATTGAACAACCCTTTTTACGACTCGATGATTTAGTAGTTGGTAGTATCATCAAAGGGAAAATTGAAAAATTGATTATAAAAGAAGAAGGTGTCGTCGGGCTGCTAGTGAAGCTTGCCGAAGGGGTTGTTGGGCTTGTCCCTCAGGCTCACATGTCAGACATCAAACTACAACACCCAGAAAAGAAATTTAAGGAAGGGCAGACCGTGAATATCCAGGTTTTATCAACAGACTCCAGGAAAAAGCAGATTCGGTTAACAATGAAGAAAAGTCTAATCAATTCAGACGCTCCTCAGTTCCTAGATTACAGAGAGATTCAACCCGGGATGCAAAGTCCTGGTACAATTATCAACATCTTACCCAGCGGCGCTGTAGTTCAGTTCTACGGAAATATTCGAGGATTTCTTCCTGTAGCAGAGATGAGCGAAACTTATATTCAAGATCCTAGCATGTACTTCCAGGTCGGGCAGGTTGTTAATGTGCACGTCTTAAATATTAATCCCGACGAAGAAAAAATGACAATATCGTGTAAAGATCCCTCTAGTTTTAGTATAGAACAAAAATCTGCGCTAGAGAAGCTCGAAATCGGGGAATTAGTTTCTGCTAAGGTCTTGGCAAAGTCTGATCAAGAAATTCAAGTAATTATTCAAGAGACTGGTTTACGAGCCCTTCTCCCAGTCAATCAGCTTTCCGACGGACCTCAGTCGAGAATTTCGTATGTCCTCAAGAAGATTCGGATCGGAGCTACGCTAAATGATCTTGTTGTGCTCGAAAAGGATATGACAAAATGCCTTGTAATTGTGACAATCAAGCCAAACATTGTTAAAGATGCTAAGAATCACAAACTCATTAGGAGCTTTAACGATGTTAAACCTGATATCATCTCTCACGGGTTTGTAAGGAACATTACACCCATTGGTATATATGTTCAATTCGGGGGACGGTTAACAGGTCTACTGCCGAAAGGTAAAATACCCGAAAGCCTCACAGGCATACCCGATTTTGGAATGAAAAAGTTCGATACCATTAAAGTAAAAGTAATTAATATTGACCAAGTCAAACAACGATTTATACTTTCTATGGTCGATGCGGACTCTGAGACTTCAAGTCAGCAACCAGCTACATCCGACCAAACCTTTGGAGTCGCTCTAAATCCTGTTGATACTAGTATTACCTCCATCAGTGATATCACTGTGGGTAAATGCACCAAGGCAAAGATAACATCAGTAAAAGAAACTCAGATTAATGTTCAGCTTGCAGATAACATTCAGGGGCGCATAGATGTCTCGCAAATATTTGATTCATGGAATTCAATTAAGGATCGTAAGCGACCCCTGAAATCATTTTCAGCCAAACAAATACTAGATGTGCGTGTGCTTGGAACACACGATGCCCGGAATCATTGCTTCCTACCCATAACACACCGAGGCGGAAAGACCTCAGTGTTCGAGCTCTCGGCCAAGCCTTCCGATCAGGAAAGCACACCGTCAGAACCAATAACGCTTGAGGATATAAAAGTTGGGTCCTTGTGGATAGCTTACGTGAACAATATTATCGAAAATTGTCTATGGGTAAACCTTACACCGAACATCAGGGGCCGCGTTGCTGCGCTAGAGATTTCTGAAGATATCTCTTTATTGAATGATCTTCACTCTAACTTTCCTGTAGGATCTGCTCTAAGGGTGCATGTCACCAACCTGGAAATTGCAACCGGTCGTCTTGATCTATCTGCTCGCTCTAAAGCTGGATCTACCTTAACATATAAAGATATCAGTAAGGGTATGATTATTCCGGGAAAAGTAACAAAAGTTGAGAAATCACACATAATGGTACAGATAAGCGATGCATTAGTAGGCCAAATACAGTTAACAGATCTCGCGGACAATTTTTCTGAAACCGACCTGAAAAAATATAGCAAAAATGACATAACACGTGTTTGTATTTGCGATATTGATGAGCCCAATAGAAGGATTCGATTATCCGCACGACCTTCTCGTGTACTTAACTCGTCTCTAACCGTTCCAGATCCAGATATCTCATCTATTGCCCAACTCAAAGTAGGTGATGTAGTTCGTGGATTTGTAAAAAATATTACAGAGAAAGGTATATTTGTTTCGATCGGTTGGAATATCGTTGCTTATGTGAGAGTATCTGATCTTTCAGACTCTTACTTCAAGGATTGGAAATGCCAATTTGAGCTGAATCAGCTTGTTAGAGGAAAGATCTTATCGACTAACTCTAGTCAAAACCAAGTTCAGATCAGTCTTAAGTCATCTGTAATCGATGAAGGACATATTCCCACAAACTCAATCGAAAATTTAAGGTCTGGACAGATTGTAACTGGCAAGATTAGGAAGGTAGAAGACTATGGTGTTTTCATTGTAGTCGATGGGTCGAACAACGTCAGTGGCTTATGTCACAAAAGTGAGCTGGCTGACAAGAGAGTTCACGACGTAAAAAAGCTATACAGCGAGGGTGATTCTGTGAAGGCAATTATCTTGAAGCTAGATCTTGAGAAAAGAAGAGTAAACTTCGGCCTAAAAACATCATATTTCGAACACGATGACTCCGATGTAGAGAGCGAAGACGACTCCGACCTAAAAGGTGGTCTTGTTACCCTCGATAATACAGTATCTGAGGAAGGTATATTCAGCGACGAAAAAGCAGTTGCCATGAATACGAATTTACAAGATGAACCAGATATAGCTGAAACTCAAATGAATGACGGGACTGCAACTATAAAGAATAGAGATAACGACACTGTTTTAAGTGCTGGTGGATTCAACTGGTCAGGGAATATATCTGATCAGGATGATAATACTTTTGATGATGTAGCAGAACTACCTGGTAACGCCAAAAAGTCAAATAAGAAGCGCAAGAAAGCTCAAGTTAGCCTGGACAGAACTGGTGATTTGGATGCAAGTGAGCCTCAGTCTGTGAGTGATTTCGAACGGCTGCTGCTTGGCCAACCTGATTCTTCATCTCTATGGATTCAATACATGGCATTCCAAGTACAACTCGGCGAGCTAAATAGAGCCAGAGAAGTCGCACAGAGAGCTATTAAATCTATCAACGTAAGAGAGGAAACGGAAAGACTAAATATTTGGATAGCCCTTTTAAATTTGGAGAATGTATATGGATGCAATGAGACTGTTGAAAAAGTTTTCAAAGATGCATGTCAATATAATGATGCACAAGCTGTTCATGAGAGGCTTATAAGTATTTTCATTCAATCTGAAAAAAATGACGTAAGTGAACTTGATTTTATTTTATGTGTAGCAGTACTAAATCTGAGCAGAAAGCCGATGATCTCTTCCAATCGTTGGTCAAGAAATTTTCTCAAATGCCAAATGTGTGGTATAATTATGCGCATTTCTTATATAATAAATTATTGTCTCCTGAGCGTGCCCGTGCGGTTCTCCTGCGAGCAACTCAATCTTTACCACCTCATACGCATCTCAATCTTACAATGAAGTTTGCCGCCTTAGAATTTCACTCACCATCTGGGTCGCCAGAGCGTGGAAGAACAATATTCGAAGGGCTCTTATCGACCTTTCCTAAGAGGTTAGACATATGGAACCAGATACTGGATCTCGAAATACAACATGGGGACCCAGAAATTATACGTACTTTATTTGAGCGTTATATAAAATCTAAGTCGCTCAAACCCAAAGGCGCTAAATCATGGTTCAAGAAATGGTCTGAATGGGAAATGGCTTGCGGAGATAAGAAAAGCTATGAAAAGGTTCAAGCTAAAGCAGAGGAGTGGGTTCGTTCCGCAAGCTTGAAGAAAACCAGTGACGAAGGATAAAATATGCTCAGTACAGCCGATGATAAAACCAATAACATATGAAGAGATCATATATCTAAAACAATGTATTTAATAACATGCTGTGGCTACAGGGTGCTAAATAAGGGTTGTTCTCTATTTAAATGGAGTGATTAGGATCGATAGCGGTATTGATGTGGAAGTTTTGAAATATGAGTTTAAGTAACATTGTTTCCCATAGCAACTTTCACTACCTACTCTGGTCTATTTTGAGATTTTAGATACTTAATTCTGTCATCTACAAGCGCAATCTCGGCTTTGATTTGTAACAGTTTTTCACTCATTATGTTTTCATATTCTTCATTGGAGATAGTTTTGACAGGTGACCACCTAGAGTTGAGCCATGATACCTTGGACTCAGGATCTGGGGCAATGGAATTCAATTCTCTGTTAGAGATTTTGTCGGTCAAAGCTTGACCAACTGCCCCAAAAATGGCAAACATGACAGCTCCGGGCAAAACATTACGCCGACCTCCTGAGAAATGAATCAGGATATGTAGCACTACGGAAAGATTTGATACTAACTAAAAATAGCACCAGATGTGCCACCACCAAGGGCGCCAGCGATGGTACTGACAATTATTTTTTCGTGCTCAATTGAATTACTCTTCGGCCATTTTTGACTCACTATAGCTCTAAAGCCTAAACGAGCTTGTCAACGGAAGAATGATACATTTAAAGTATAATTTGTAAGTCTGCTCACCAGTAATAGTAGCTCCGAGAGTAAAGCACTGGATACCCGAGGCCAGCGAAAACAGTATAGGACTTGTGGACCGTATAATGCCTGCAAATGCTCCTACCAACATTCCACTCGCGCCTGCACTCGAAGTTAGAATATATTTTCACGTGACATATAAGTAATCTTCATGGGCAGACAGACCGGCGAGAGCTCCAACTTTAACAGCTGGGCTGATGATATTAAGCTGGTGGCTAATTCCATTTGGATTCTCGTGTTTTGACATGATCACTAGACTAGACTATTTCCCCGTGTGGATTTCACAACAAAAGTAGAAGGATTGATGATCCTGATAGATAAACTCAATTGGCGGCAGCAGTAAGTATCTAGGCCTCAGATTTAAAAGAAGTGTTGAGTCTACATTCGTTTTATTCACTGCAGAGTAACATGAATGATCCTTATCAGACTTTGGGTGCGTAAAGAAAGGATTCGTTAGTTCATGTCCTGTCAAATTTTTGCACTTGGAAGTTCGGCCGCCGTAATCAAGCACGAATTCATACTAGGCATAAAATTAAACTATCGCACTGCAGGCGCTAAATCCCTAAAATTCCACAAATTCGACACACAACCTATCAACGATAAAATCCATTCCTAGGTTTGGTCACCCCGAAATTTCTGATTTTGACCCATTATCTTACAGAAAAAAGATTTCAGCTCTCACGAAAAAACTCAGCGGACCGCCGCCAAAGCAGATAAATCGTACTCTGAGCGACACAAAAGGCCGCAATCATGGGTAAGGCCTATTGTCCACGCCGCCCTTCATCACATCCCAACAAAACAGACTTTTTAAGACCTCTCGAACCTTGTACTAATTGTAACATGAATAGCTCCAAAGAAAAAAGAGGTGCAAAAGCTCTCCTTAATGGCTTTTATGGCGGACAAGAGCAAGTTACTTCTTATGCCTCATACCTAGTCTTCAAATTAACAAGGTGTAGAATTGGGATCCTGGGCTGATGAGATGGAGGATATGCCAGTTTGTAAGTTGAGATGTGTACCAATACTTTAGACAAAGTCGCTAACAACTATCTTCTATAGCAGGTACGCTCTTTTCTCACCTTTGCCAAATTAATGGATTTACTCTACTCACAAGCTTCAAGACTCTCAAACCGGGTATGATTCCGAGCCACGAACCCTCAACGCTACTGCTAGCACTTATGCCAATGGAAACATCGCCGGTAAGTCGATAGAAACCCAAATACTCTTTCAGCTCTAACTTTTAACAGGCTATACTCTAAGGGAAGAGCTACCACTACCTGATAAGCCACCGTATACCGTCCACCTCGGAAATCTCTCTTTTGAAGCCACGAGCGGAGATGTCACCGATTTTTTCGTCAACTGTCAATGCACTAACGTTCGGATCATCGAAGATAAAGTGGAAATGAAACCAAAAGGGTTTGGATACGCCGAATTTGCATCACGAGATGGACTAAAGCAGGCTTTAACACTCAATGGACATACATTTCATGGACGGAACATTCGGATTAGCGTTGCAGACCCTCGTAAGCGTTCTATCCCATTCTTCGACTTGTAGAGGCTAAAACTATACCTTCAAAGCCAAAGATAGAGGCGATCGGTCCGAAGCAAGAGATATTAGTGAATGGAGCCGTAAAGGGCCCTTGCCAGACTTGCCCGCAAGATCAGGTATGGGAACAAATCGCCGTGAGGTTGATCGTGGCTTTGGGGCCGATTTTGGAGGAGAGCGTAGAGAGCGTTTTCCAGAGACCGATGGAAAAGCTCGTGACCGCGGAAACTGGGAGAGAAAAGGTCCTCTATCTCCAATTATACAACCAGAGCGCGCATATAGAGAGGGCGGTCGTCCAAGAACGAATGATAGCACACGGATGGATAATATACGGGAGCGAAAGTCTTCACCAGCTGCTTGGGGAGAAGGAGGCCAAAAGAAATCTCAAGAAGAATCTCGTCCACCTCGTCGAGAACTACAGGACCGACCTATTCCCGACCGTGCACCAACTGCCGCTGAACAAGATAACCAATGGCGCAGCAGAATGAGACCAGATGTACCCGTTACTAACTCTCCTATACGCTCTCGTGATGGGAGCGAGGCACCCTCTTCCCCAGCCCTTGGTGTAGTACCTAGTGCCAGCAGACCGAAATTGAATCTTTCGAAAAGAACTGTCTCTGATACCCCTGAACAGCTTTCAAACGTGGCCCCTTCCGATGCAAAGCCTAGTCCCTTTGGAGCTGCTAAACCTATTGATACAGCTGCCAAGGAGCGAGAGATTGAAGAAAAGCGACTAGCTGCTATAAAGGAAAAGAGAGAAGCGGACGAGAAGGCTAGTGAAGAAAAACGCGAAGCCGCCAAGGCATTAAAAAGCTCAAAAGATATTGAAAAAATTGAGATACTAAAGCGATCTACGACAGGAGATCCTGCTGGCGGAGACGGTGTGAATGAAGCTAATCCTGATAATGTTGTAAAGACAAAGGAACCTGGTCGAGAGAACAAACCCAAGCCATCTGACTCAGGTGCTTGGAGGCGTGCCTCTCACACAGTTCCTTCATCTCGGGATGATATCCCTCGAGGACCCAGAGGTGCTCGCGGTGGCCCTGTTGGCGGTTCACGCGGTCGGGGAGATGGTCCAAAACAATACGATGATCGAGTAAATCGGAAAATCATGAACGGTGAATCCTCACCTGTCGCTATCGTGCTAGAAGGCAAACCTGAAGCGGTCGCTCAAGTGGCGGAAGAAGATGGATGGAGCACAGTGTCGAAAGCCAAGAAAAACAACCGATCTGGAAACCAGAGTGCACGGGCTGTAGCGTCTTGATGTAGGCAAGTTTTTCTAGCTACTCCAGTTATAGGTTTCTGTTTGCCGAACAAGCGCTGTTGGCATATTTAAATTGGGGCCATACGAATTTGAGTTATGTTCTATGGCCCACCTTTTATGTCATTTTGAATGACTCCCTTGGCGTTGGATTATTGCACCTCAGTTTTTTTGTGGCTACATCTTGCCCCACGACTAACTGAAGCACACTCACAAAACTCTTGCACAACCAAGTTACCCGCAGGGAACATTGTGGACTACTGCTCAAGAATTCTAATTCACGCATAAAGGTGATATCTACTGTGGGACGTAAGCCTTTGTCCTGGCTTCGTGTCAACCGAGAACTGTATTCACAAGTCTTTCACATTACGAATAGAGTAGATATTATAGGAGAGAGACCTTGGTAATAACTATGTGCCTAAATTGAGGTTGTGCTGTCAAAAGACAAGCGCCATAAGAACATGATGATTTGAATGCTACCCCCCTTTAGACTTAGAAAATTTAATTGTTGCATAACCGTCTTCCATGAATTAGATTTACACAGTTTATCATGAATAGGATGAATGTTCAAGCAAGGCTATGAATTGAGCAGACTTTGGCATTCTAGGGTGTTAGGAACGAGAGTGATCTCGAGACTTGTCATGATAGACAGCTATGGGTCTGAGGGGATCTTGTGGTTCCGGGGGACTCGTGACGTTCCGCAAGAAATTCAGCATTGAGTAGGAGCCTCCGCCATATTCCATGTCGTACCTTGCGAAAGCGGGTTAGATAGCAGGGGTATTGGACAGACGGAAACATACCAGTAGTTGACGGCGCAGCATATTCCATCATCGGCGCAGGACTGTGAGACCTTGTGGTACCTGTGAGCGGTACGGGGTCAGGGCGGGGGTGGCGAGGCAGGACGAAAGACTGACCATTGTGCGGGGAGATAGAGCATGTCGCCCTTCTCCAGGGTCACGGCTAGGGGCACGACCAGATGCGAATAGGGTGTACGCTGAGCCTGGGCCGGGCCGGCATCGGGGTCCCATGTGGGCAGGGGCACGGGTGGGCCGGGCTCGTGACGGATGCGCCAGGTGCCGGACGGGCTCTTGAGATAGGCAGCGGGTGGCAGGGGCGTTTCGGCAACACAGACAAGGGCGCAGGGCGGCAGTAGGCGGAAGTGCTTGCGACCGAGGAGCTGGACGTAGATGTTCTCGTAGGGGTCCTTGTGGAGGACGGTGGTGGAATGCGCGTTGCCGATCCAGAGGTTGCGCGCGTCAGCCGGCTGGCCGAGGGCATCGCGGGCCCAGGCAATCTCAGTGGGCAGCTGCGGCGCGAGAAGCTCGTACTCATGACGTAGATTATCGTTTTCTGCGCGTCGACTGTTAGCAGGGCGCATGGCGCAAGCACACCGACCTACGGGACTGGGCATAGGTGACTTCGGACGGCGGTGGTGGCTCGCTCCCCGTCCTAGTCTCCGGCGCCAAGAGAGAGTCGATGAACTCGGCAAAGTCGACGCGCTGCTGCCACGGCTTGACGAAGCACAGTTGGCCGTCTGCGTCACGAGTAGGCGCGTCGGCGAGTCCATTTGGGGTCACTGCCACCTCGACCGTCTGGCCCTGCAGCAGCGCCTTGAGGCGTGCAACGCTCCATTCTCGCGTCGCCTGCCAGTCAGCTGCGCCGCCACGCACAACAAAGGGCCGGTTGCGCGCGACGAAGCGCATAAACTCGAGTGGCGTCGGCGTTGTGGTACGGATCTCGACCCAGCCCGGATTCAGCTCGTGGTAGTCCTTGAGCAGCGTGGCGACGGGGTCGGCATTCGTCATACTGCTAGTGTTAGAGGCGTGGGTTGAGGGCGTTGTGCTGTCGCCGTAGTTGCTCATCGTCGACACCGGCTGCGCTGCACATGGCGGAGCAGACGCGCGCCACTTACCACCAACACGGTAGCGTGTCGACGCCGCCATCCACAGCCAGACATCTCCCTCTCCAAACGCCACTCTCCACCTCCCAACCCCCGTCCGTAACTTTTTGTGACATGAAAATACCACGAGCTCTCCTCGTGTCGCGCGAGCAATCCTCCCGTGAGACGTTGTCACGTGCTGGCTGAAGGGCCCTCGGACCGTGACGCTATGTCCGGGGCGAGCGAACACAGCACTTGGTGGCTTTTGCCGATCAAGACTAGCGCAGCGTGTCGAAGGTCAAGAGACGCGCCTCTCCTCCAGGCCTCGGACTGTCAAGGCGCGCACGGGCAAGGGAGATACAGTGGCAACCAGGTGCTGGAAACAATGCGCGAGTGGTGCGGCTCCTGAGAGGCATCGGTGCAGGGCCTTCAGCCATATCGGCCGAGGTAGTCCCTCTGCACGCACGTTGTTGGGGAATGCTGCTTATTCGGCACTTGTTCAAAACCCATCCTTCCGTACTACTCTGCCACGCCAAAAACGTTGCCCATCATATCATACATTCTCTATCCTGGCATCCTGAAAGCCCTGTTACCTCGGTTCATCCCAATGCACGTGGTCCAGACCTGAATCTGGGGCTAAAGGCCAAGGCCATGCCCATCCCCTAATCCGAGCGTGTCTGGACCCTGTGTGTCCAGCCTACGGGACACTACGTCAAATTTAAGCAAAATCATGACTTGTGGCCTGGCTGGCGGTGCGACACGTTTTACCCTGATCAGTGTGGATGGGTGAGGGCAGCGAGGTCTATCTCTTCTTTCCAGGTGCCTCTATGAAGAGACTCCAGGTGCGAGGGTGGGGGTGAGTGAACGGAATGCCTTTAGAAACCCCTTCCTTTTCCGCCCCCAGTGGAGGTGCCTGCTTCCCGATCCTCGAGTCATATCTTTGACGCTTACATTGAAAATCCATGCCTAGCATGTAGGCCTCTAGAGAGTCTCGGTCTTGTGGCAATGGTCCCGGCCCAGCTGTTGTGAAGGTGACAGATACCGAGGAGCGACGGCTAGCCCTCTAATAATAGGCTTGGGGAGAGCAGTAAAGGTGAGGTATTATCCATAGATTTGGTGGAGCCGGCCAGCGGTGCGAAATATATCTGCCATTCCCTGTCCAAACTAAGCTACTCTGCTCGCTCCCACCGTTGATGGGCGAATTAACCTCGGCCAAATCACTTCTAATATCTTGGTGAGCTATAACGTCAAGTTTATCGCTCGGAATGGCCGACCCACGATGAAATATTAGCCACCGTGTCATGCTCGGCAGGAAATGGCCAAGAATGGGGCGGCTAATTAGGTATGCGGCTCGGCGAGATGAATCATTGATATTGGAAATCAGATAGAATGTAGTAGTCGAAGATTTACGTATATTATATTCTTGCCAATGTGGTTCAGACAGGATACTTTGTCGTAGACTACTCTGAGCAGCAGGCATACCGTCATGGTCGATGCGACGCAAGGATCAGGTGATCTATACGGCCAGGCTCGTGCTAGGCCGTCGCTGGCCATCACCCTCTCATATTATACGGCACAGCCTCTCATTCAAGATGGCCGGTACACGCGAATCGATCAAACATGGATCCGTGGCAACATTACCGACTTGTTTCGGGAGGAGGCGGTAGAAGATGGCTTATTTAGGACTTGAGCTTCGCAATCCGTGAGAGGTTCCCCTTGCAATCAGTTCTTTTTTTTTTTTAATTCATATTGTATTCAGCTATCTAGCTATGACAATTTGGTATATTTAACAGTATAATCAAAATCAAAATCAAAACCAAATCAAAAATTTAACAACACAAAAACCACTAACATCAGATTACATTTTGGATGCCATTTCTCATCCTATCAGACTTCTCTAACCATAACTCTTGCTCATTTCTATTATTTTTTTGCCTTGTATATCTCCTTTGTATTTTGATATACACTGAGAAGTTTTTAAAATTTTTAGTAAGGCTTCCCTTCCTCTATTGGTTCTGAGTATTATTGGTAATATTCTAGGCTCAATGCCAGCAAATGCAATGTCTCTTTCTCTTCGAAATTTGGTGCAGTGGAGAGCTAGGTGCTTTGTTGTCTGCTTTCTGGAATGGCAGAAATTACACCAATGATCTTTCACCTTTCCAATCATGTTTAAATATGCTCTTGTATTGCCTATTCCAGTTAGGACTTGAAAATATCCAGATTCTTCTAGCCTGTTGTGGCCGTGGAAGTCAAATGGTCTTAGAGTAATATTTGGTGTGTGAAGTTGAGCTTGGATCCTATAATATTTGCCGAGCCCCCTGCACTTTCTTCCTTCCTCTTCCCTTAGCAATTCTGTTTCCCAATAATTTTGCCATTCCTTGACTATATATTCTTTTGACTTTTGTTTTAGATAAGAATGTGAGGTGAACATGTCTTTCTTGAATGCCTTCTTTTTTGCTACCCCTTTGGCTAGTGAGTCTGCAAGCTCATTGCCCTCAATTCCTATTGCAATCAGTTCATGCGGGTGTAGAGCGCATTCATCCACGTGACTACCGAGATGACGTGGATCCAAAATATTCGGATCATAGTTCCCCCGTGCAAGGCTCGGAATTACTAATGCACCCACTACCTCTGTAGGGTAGTAGCTTTTGGACGTAGAATATACACCATACAGATCAGAACCGACCCTTAGTAGGACGAAGGCTGAACAACTGCCAGTGGTGTCCTCTACGAACCTGGGAGTGAAATATTATCCCAGAGCCGAGATTCAGTCACGACAAAGGGTGAATTTGAGAGTTTTCGTCGAGTTGGCGATCGGGAGGAGTGGTGTTGGCTCATTCTTGGTCGAAAATCCGACTTGCAGAGATTTCACGACTGCAAAACTCAACGGAATCAACCATATACACCTTAGATACGAACCGCAGACAGGCTGTAACCTGTGTGATATTCGTATCACAACAACCGACACTTTCAAGATCTAAATTTCTTTTTTTCTGGAAGACCGTTCCCTGCCAAATTCATCTCACGGGCCTCTCCACAATTATCTCATCACCTACCAAAGCAATCCCATACCTTCAAAAGCAAAATCGTCAACAAAGAAGCAAGAGGGTGTCCGATCCTACGCAACTGCCGGTTGCTGTGAAGGTACGGTCGAAAACTCGGCCTTAAATGCGTCCTCACCTCGGCCAAGGGCACCAACAACTCGACCTGCAACGAATCGCCACTGACGAATTACGTACGAAATTTCGCCGGCGCACCAATTAGAGCATTCGACAAAGGCTGGGGCACCGGTGCCTCGGTCTTGAGCTCTCAGTCGCCTTTTCGACCTCCTCGGTAAGGGATACGGCAGCAACGGGGCAAGGCCGGAGGCTTGGACATTCTACAAAGTTTCTGGGACGACAAGATGGGCTGAAGGATAGAGGGATGCCATATGAAGGAATAAATGGGAACACAAACTGTGGAGGCCTTGGTAGGCGACTGGGTGAGGTCTCCAGTGAAGAAAATGACCCCTGGATGAGATGAGGAGATGCTGAGATGAGCCTAAGCTGGGAACAAATGGAGGGAAAAATTTACAGATAGCGAAGGTGTCAAGGGCTCGGGCGCGTAGTGGCCGAGGCTGAGGAGGAATTTACGCTTCCGCGCGCCAAAAAGGGGTTCTCTGGACGGTTGGGCTTGACATGATTCAACACATGGGTGAGATCTAAGGTGGTCCGGTCATTTAGGTGGGACGAGGTAGTGTTGTGATAACGAGGTCATGAGAAGACAGAGGAATACCTGAAATGGATGCAGATGATTGTGGATTTGCGGATATAATTGATGAAGGTGTAAATGCGAAGATGCGTTAGAATGAACATTGGTACGATGGTTAACTCTTTATCTATCTGCGGAATTATTGCTTCCTTATATATACATTCAGTACCCCAGTCCTGATCACGCACTCACCACAGGTGCTTCCTACTTCTGTCACAGTAACCACTTCCATAGCCCCTGCCAATATCTCCTGTCATAACATACTATGGACACTGGTTGCTAGTGTGGAACTCCCGGGATTGCAGAGCTATACACTGTCGTCACATTATATGCTGTTGCCCCTCAATAGCCATCAGAGTGATGTGCACCTCAGTCTAAACGCATTGGTCCACCAGGCAACGCTCGGATGTAGGGATGTTGACAGATTGATTAGGTACTTAGCTGTGCTGTCAGTGCCCTAATCTCATCCTGCCTACTGCGGCCGAGTGTCCGAGTGCTGCGATGGTGGGAGCTCGATGAGGCTTGATCGGAGCTGACCCGAGGTATTCACAACAGGTAGATGTACTTTACGGTAGTTAATCTGATCCGGTCCGGCCCCATTCGTACTTAAGCTCCGGTAGGAGTGAGGTTCTTAGCTAGCAAAATTTAGTAGGGGTCACGGATGATAGGTTATATCAGTGAAACGGTAAATGGTTAAGATTGGTGGTTGACGACTGTCCTGTGCCTCACCGTCGGGGATACTAGATGCCCGATAGAAAGCTTTGTAGACTTGTCGTTTTTCCTCCCCATCCTAAACTTCTGACTCGTGCTTTATTTGTACCTATTACTTATTTCTGTTCGGTATCCTTCAAATGATGGCGCTCGATCCTCAGTTTATGTTCGCGCCACCCTTGCCACTGGATACCAATACACTTGTTCCCGTGTGTCTCTCTCTACCAAATCCCGCTCATGCTTACTCCTAGTGCCGTTAGTTAATGCCCGGCTTTTATCAAACAGCGCGGCGCTGGGCCCATGGACGTTCAATGATTTATGTGCCTGAAACCTCATAAGTGCGATAGGCGACATATACCTGGTACGTAAGTGAATAAAACAGAACAAAAAGAACCTTCATCCCTCACGAAGTTCGCTTTGCCCGCCCGAAAAACCTGAGGCCCTTATGAGGTTTCTGGGCGCGCGTTGTGTACCTAGTAAATGGTGGGTGGGTGTGTAATATTGAAATGCTATCACGTGGTGTCTCGTGGCTCCTAACTACAATGGATCTTGTGTAGAGCTTGAGACTAATACGTGAATTCTACCCCTCCCTAATTGCAGGAAATCTATGCGCCTATATACCTCAATACTCTGTTACCCCTCAGCTCCAGTGAGATCTGCTCTTGTGACTGTGCGATCTGATCGTGTGAGACCATAAGACACTAGCATTTTGTCTATGTGTCGTACATCCAAAATCTGACTAACCCGTGACAATGTAGATCTTTTCAGGATCCACATTTATCTTTCCCCAGCCGCGCTTAGCGGCTATGATTTCACGCGCCAAATTAGAAATGTTCCCGCGTGAACATTTAGGTTGTTGTACTACTTGGGTCAGAATATGTAGCGCACAGGAATGTTCCCGACCCGCACCATAATTGTGGGCAAAGGTCTGCATCTCTCTCTCGGAGATATTTGACGTCGTCAAGATAGAATACCTTTGTATACTCTAAAAGACAGCGAAACTGCAAATAACTACCATAGCATTTAGTTTGTCAATCTTTGCCATGTTCGCCGCCGAAATTTCTGCTCCCTAGTACCATACGAGCAGACTCTGATATACAGCTCAGGCCGCTCTCATCTAAGCCTACCGAAGCTCCTATCCCAGACTTCAGTCTAGATAAATGAACAAAAGTATATCGGCTCATGTGGAACTATTAAAATTTTCTCGTCGCTGTCCACGAATGGGAGATTTAGAACACTATTATAATCCAAATACCTCATCGTCTTAGGTCAATCATAAAGCCACCTGTTCTAATCAAGTCTTGCCACACCTAAACCAACTTGTCCTATATCAAATGGAGTCGCTACCCGAGCCATCCTGGCTTTACTCTACATATCCGGCTGGACGATGTAATACTGCATCATATAATTTCATGCCCAAATACCTAACGAGATATGTCAAGGCTGTTAATTTATCCATGCAGCTAGGTTCGAGGAATGTATTACTGGACAAACTCCACACGAAAGTGATCTGAAAAGTAACATGGCCCACCATCTTAGGCGTACTACATCCGACGGTAGTTGGCCAAAAGGCATGGCTATGTATCTTCATTACACGTATAGATCTAGTTTTGCCCTTCTCATAGGTGCAGAGATCCTGGGATCGTAGATGGTATCTAATACCTAGTAAGTTGTGATGTAGACCAAAAAATGTCCTTTTCCATGCCTCTAAAATACAATAATAAAGACCTTTTCTCGGCTGCACGATCGAACAATGCATATTCTGGTAAACCTGCTTGGAATCAACTTGTCTAGGCCTTAATTCAGAAGGAACTCGGAACAGTCGTCACTATCTACTCTGATTTGAAAATGTTGCGCTCTCCAAAGACTCTATCACGGCTTGAACAAAGGATTCAATATATCCGTGATGCGATCAATAAGTCAAGACATTGAAACGACTGCAGCAGTCTTGTCTCCACACTTACTTAACCTCTTTGGAACAAAATACTGCCATTTTTCAATAATAAATCATAAACCTCCCGCGACACACGTCACCTGCAGCTCCCTCTGCGGAAGATGAGTTTTTTCAAAATGAATATCAATTAACCTTAAATGTCTCCGGCCTACTCTTTCAAATGAATAATCTTTGACAGGCACACACCTTTCGAAAAATGATAGCGCCGGTTACATAAATTAGTTACTAGCATATTGTGTCATTTATATACGACTTCAATTATAATATTACGGTACTTTACTTATGACAAACATCTAACTAATAGCACAGTTCATGGTACCTTATCAAAATTTGCTATTATGCTAAAGCTTTGTTCATATCTTATACGCCCTCTACCAAGGTAATGGTATCACTTATCCTGAAGCAGATAGGTGAGAATCATGGAATCTATGAAGTGTGGCGGAAACCAATATTTTGCTAGGGAGAAAAAGCTTTGCCCTTTCTGGTATCCATCCTGGTAATGCATGAAATTTAGTTAATTTAACTCTCATCACACTCACCAGCTGAAACTCTTCTTGAGTGACATGTCATAAATATGGTAGCTCAAGCTATTATGTTTACATACAAGTAACAAGATTTTCATGTACTCTTCAGATTGTTGATGTAAAGCTACATGAAGCTATTCGACGAAGGATAATCAAAGATATAGGCTTACTTTACATCAAATCCTCATTTCAAGGGTTGAGAGCAGCATTATTAAGATAAGATCAAAGTAGCGCAGCTCAGCTCAATTTACCGGAGACCTCATGTAAATCCTTCTGCATTCGGAACTCAAGACTCTACACCAGCTGTCCCGCTAAAATTTATTGGATGTATTAAATTTTTATCACAAGACTTAGGTTTTAAGGGCTGGAGAAATTCATTTCACCGCATTAGAGAAATGATACTGACCATTCTCGGTAGAATATAGTCAGTAAAATCAAATTTTAATTAATAAAAAATGGATCAAGAGATGGAATTATTCAGCAAGATGTAGCAAAACCCCCAGCTGACATAGAAACCGTTGTCTTGTGAGGCTCCTCATACAAACGAAAAAGCTCAAACGCACTTATAGCATGGGTCTAGACTTAAGCCTGAATAAAATTCAAGCTTGGAATTCAATCAAATTACTGCACTATAAATTATGACCACCATAATCCATCCTAGTAGGTACTGTCGTAATTCATCGTGGCCTCATTAAAGAACTCTCCAGCTATCGTCATAAGTCACTGGCCTGTCAAATGCCATTCCCAAGTATAACGCCAGAACGAATTATAAATATAGGTTGTCATACACCCAAGAATCCCAAAGTAGGTGAGAAGGGAGCCTTTCCTGCTTTTTCCTGGCCCACAAATTTTATGCCATCATAGCGACATCATCTTTATTGCCTCAAAGTATTCAAATATCAAATTAATTCTCCCTGGCTTTTGATTCTATTATGACAGAACACAATAGTTCAACATGAGCTCGGTTCTATCTAGTACCGCACAGAAAGTGCAAAATATTATCTCAAATCCCATAGATTCTAATGAAAAGGCAGCCGACTTGAAACAGGACATAGTTGAGTCACCTACGCCTGGAGATGTTCTATCAAGTGATTTTGGTGTCAAAGCCAAAAGTCATGATATATGGCTATCCATTTCGACCGAGGATAGAAAAGGGCCACAGCTTTTGGAGGATGGGTTTTCCAGAGAAAAGGTAACCAGCTTTAGAAATTACTTTGCGTGGGGGGTTTGTCTAATTAGATTCAGATCATGAAGTTTGACCATGAGCGCATCCCTGAACGAGTCGTTCACGCTCGTGGAGTCGGAGCATTTGGGCACTTCAAACTCTACGAAAGTGCCAGTGACGTTACTCATGCTGCCGTTTTGACTGATACCTCTCGGACTACACCTATCTTTATCCGCTTCTCGACTGTTCTAGGGAGCCGAGGAAGTGCAGATACTGTCAGAGATGTCAGAGGATTTGCAGTCAAGTTTTATACAGAGGAAGGAAATTGGGATATAGTTGGTAATAATATCCCAGTATTCTTTATCCAAGATGCCATGAAATTCCCGGATGTTATTCATGCTGGAAGTAGGTCAAGTCATTCAAAATTATGCAGGAAGCATTCCAGATTTCACTGACGAGATTAGAGCCGGAGCCAGACACTGAAATACCACAAGCACAGAGCGCTCACAATAATTTCTGGGATTTTCAGGCTCTACATACCGAAGCAACCCATATGTTTATGTGGGTTATGAGCGATAGAGCTATTCCTAGATCGTATAGAATGATGCAAGGTTTTGGGGTTAATACATTTACACTTACCAATGCTGCCGGTATTCGATCCTTTGTAAAATTCCACTTCACACCCACTCTTGGTGTTCATTCGCTGGTGTGGGATGAAGCATTAAAAATTTGCGGTCAAGACCCTGATTTTCATCGCAAAGATCTTTATACGGCTATAGATATGGGCGTGTTTCCCAGATGGAAATTTGGTATACAAGTTTGTCCCGAGTCCCGGCAGGACGAGTTTGAATTTGATATTCTTGACGCCACAAAATTATGGAATGAAGAATTATTACCCATTCGTTACATTGGAGAGATCGAGTTGAACAAAAATGTTGACGAATTCTTTACCCAAACAGAGCAAGTCGCATTTTGTACGCAGCATTTACCTCCAGGAATAGGCTTTTCTGATGACCCATTGCTTCAGGGGCGTAATTTTTCCTATTTTGATACTCAATTATCACGTTTGGGCGTCAACTGGCAGGAACTCCCAATCAATCGGCCTCTATGTCCTGTTTTTAATAATCATCGCGATGGCCAAGGCTGCCACCGGATTCATCGAGGTAATATAAACTATTGGCCAAATCGAGCATCTATCTTGCCGCCAGCGACATCTTCAGATGAGGCATACCACGAATACCCAGAAACCGTTATTGGTATGAAGCAACGTTTGCACTCTATAAAATTTTCCGAACATTATAAGCAAGCACAAAGCTTTTACAAATCTTTATCAAAAATTGAAAAATACCATCTTATTTCAGCACTCAGTTTCGAATTGGATCACTGCGATGATAAGATCGTGTATCAAAATGTTGTGTATCGACTAGGCGATATTGACCTTGAGCTAGCGCAAGCAGTTGCTGAGAAGGTTGGGAGTCCTAGGCCCACAAGAGGAAACCGCTCTATTGTTGGTGAAAAGATGAAGGGCTTGTCGCAGATGGATTTTACTGTTGAGGCTCTCGGCTTTGCTCCAACAATTTCTTCTCGCAGAGTCGCTATCATCATTGGCGAGGGATACAACTTCCTACACTACACATCCGTAAAGAAAGCCCTGGAAGCTGCAGGAGCGTTTGTATCTACTATTGGTCCGAAGCGTCAGCCGATAAAAAGTTTGACTTTTGAAGATGTTATCCCAGATCATCATTTTGAAGGAATGCGCAGTACTCTGTATGATTCACTCTACATTCCTGATGGTAACCAGATTTCTTCTTTGATTGAACAAGGTCGTGTAATTCACTGGCTTCGGGAAGCATTTGGGCACTGTAAAGCTATTGGTGCTACCGGCAAAGCAGTTAAGCTAGTTGAAAAGGCGTGTTCTGTGAGGGGAATGAATTTTAGTCGTAATTCTGAAGTCGTTGATAGTTATGGTGTTGTTACGGTTGAGAATGTCGAAGGACCTGGAACCCTTGGGGCGCTGGTTCAATTAACCGGGGATGGAAAGTCTTTTGTAGAAACGTATGCCCTGAGTATATCGCGGCATCGAAATTTTCAGCGAGAGCTTGATGGACTTACTAGTATGGTGGCATATTAATGTAGTGTTCGCAACTTCCTTTCATCATACAGTAAGGTGCTACTATTGTATTTAGAACTAGCAATTTGAGCATATAGTTATTTATTTATGACGAAGGAGATGTGAACCCGCTACAAGCAGATACGCGAGGAAAAGTAATAAATTGCAGTACACTTTACTGTCCAGGTATATGTTCCACGGCTAAGTCTCGTCTTCCTGTAGACTATGATTCCTTCACCTGTATAGGGTTTTTGGTGAGTGATATTGTGATCAATCATGTATTACCTAAAAGTTGGTGACTAGTTGTGTTGATGAGTAATGAAGTACCTGTTTACAAATTGAGTTAGGAGAAAAAGTAATTGGTATTTATACGTGTTTCGAGTAAAATTGAGGAATGGTCAAGATATATGTAAGGTTACAGTAATCTTTACTGCTAAAATAAGCTCATGATATGTTGGAAATTCAGAATCTTTGTGTCTGGAGTTCCCCTGTGATTGAAACAACTAATATTCTTACACATGACTCACGACAGAGATTATTGACATCCCCTTTATTGAGCATGATTGATGCGTGAGACTCGACTACTGCATGTCATAGTTTGCTATGCGTGAGATAGACTCTGAACCACTGGCCCTATTCCTATACTAATGTTGTATACTGTTGTGCGATTCATTGCCATTTTTGGAGTAGCGAGCGAGGATAGGTTGATGGTACCTAATCCGGTTTCGGTTTAGTAAGAACACATGTATATAAGCTGTCTATGTTAACGATCAAGGCGAACGGTCTCTACACGCAAGCAATACCATAAAGTAATAAATAGTATTCTATTGGAAAGAAGGTTACAACTGGATTGTGCCAACACAAAATGTACCCTGGCAAAAGCCTTACACAAGCATTGCCAACGGATCGGGGGACTATTCTCAACACCTGTCAGTGGTGACCCCTACAAACCTCCAGCTCTCACTGTAGAGTCTACAGAGCCGAGATTGAGTAACAAAGTCCTCACTTCGACGAGGTTCCCCAATCACTTTCGTCGTCTGTATCGTCTTCATCTCTCAACACATTCCCCTATCACCACTATCATGGAGCTAACCACGATCAGATTAGATGGTAGGGTCAGGGCCCTACTCTTGATCATGGGAGAAAAGCCATCCGATGAGTTTCCGGAGCCTACCCAGCACCCAATACGGAGATGGCGGATTGGATCAAGTCGATCTTGACTGTTACAAAAAAGGGAGATATAGGTGAATGTGCGCACCTCATGTAGTCCCGGTGTCTAGGGCTTGCATGGCTGGGGCTGCAGGTTTTTGAGACTTTTTCCCGCGCACGCAGTTTCCATGCTACCTTTTTTATTTATTTAGGTAGAAAGTTCCGTGGAAAAGGTGGCGGAATTCCACGGGTAAATACTGAGCTGAATGTGTTATATTAACTAGGCTTTATAGGAGCAGGATGATGGATACTCATGGGGAAGTTATGCTAATGGTAGGCCTCGTTCATCGCTGTCGCGTGTGTTCTCGTGATATGTAAGACTTAAATCCATATTCTCGTGTAAAAGAAACTTAGCTGCAATGAATGGACGGAGGTTGAGACCTTATATGTTGCTCCAGACTTACTGTGTTGTTCACAGCCTAGTGCTAGAACATTCCCTTATGATATCATTTCTCTCCTTCGAGAAATGACTATCTCGTTCTCCCTCAGTCCATCAAACTCTCGCTGATTCCATTATCTCTATTTCATCCAGTTCTACTTTGGTCCATAATACCCACACATGCATTACACACAAAACACCCCGCGGTTTAGCTCCCCAGTCACGTGCATCTACTATGACGTGACCTAAAGCATGTACCATGGTAAGTAACATGGATGATGCAATAGAATGGCGATTCATCACGGGCAATTTATCAACGATCTTACAACAAAAGAGGCAAGGAACACTGTGCAAGGTGTGGCTTGGGCCAGAAAGGAACCCAATGTAATAGATAGTCACAGACTCAAGTAGTACCATATACATACCTCTCTTTCTCCCCCAATGGGTCTTGCTCAGTGCGATGCAGCTGAGCCTTTTGCCACACAGGTCAGCCCAGACAACCAATGACGGGTAATCTCGTATAGTCTAAGAGTCATCAGGGCACAATATATTCTTACGTTGAGTACTCTTATATTCACAGAATATCACGTGTTCTCCAGATTCATATCAATATTATTCTATTCGTAAATGGCGCCGGCGTTCCTTGAGCCTCCTGACTCATCAAACCCATCCTGTTATGGTGTGCCAAGGGATTTGTCAGGAGCTAGCTTAGTAAATTAGCCGACCCATGTACATTGAATATAGAGAACACACACATTCAATTAGACAGAAAACTAAGTCTGCACACATTAGCTCATTGCTCCCATCTCACATATTCGTTCTCCTTGTACATCGCCAGTCACCTTTATTTGTCTATCAAGATATCTTCCGCAAGCTCATAACTATAACAGGTTATGAGCCCGGGCTCTTCAACAACCATGATAAATACAGATTCAGACAAGGTGACCTTAAGGAAAGGAGTTCCATTCAACCAGTGGAAGAGCAGCTTATAAGCAAGACTCAGTATACTTGATGTCGTAGGACATGTCTTTCATGATGTCTCAGGCATAGACCCTATTACCCAGCCATCTAAGCCGAAGGAAATAGATGAAGATGAAGACGCAGCAATGAATCACAAGAAGGCACTTGCGAAATGGTCGCATGGTGAGTTTCGTGCAAAAGATGCGATCGTCACTCGGTTGAGCCCCGAGTTGGTCCCCGAAGACTACGACCAGATCACTGCGAAACAGTTGTACGACGAGCTAGCCAAAACTAGAATAACAACAGCCTCCGCACCGTATGAAACTGCTCTTGCCAAATTGTTAGAAACTAGATTCACTGCAACTGCAGATGAATACTGCGATGTGTTCCTTAAGCGGCTGCAAAGTGTTAACAATGCAGCTTCAGTTATGGCAGCTGCAGATGAATCAGCAATGGCAGAAGACTACAAAGTCCATAAAGGACAAGCAGCAGCTTTATTTGTTTTTGGCACAAAAGAGGTGGAGTGGCTTGACATCTGGAGAGGCACGAAGACTCGAACTCTAAAAAATACCCTTGCACCACTGGATTATATGATATCCACACTGCGAACCGAGGCCGGAGTCCGAAGCCAAGCACCTAAAATCGCCATGATGGCTACTCCACAACAACAAGATGTTAATGAACCAGATCCAGAAGCAACATGTAGGCTGTGCTGGCACAAGCATAAAAACAAGTATTGCTACAAGCAACATCCGGAATTGGCAGTTGGACCTAAAGCAGAAAAGTGGCTGAGTAAAGGAAAGGGCAAGGGTAAAGCAAAGGCATCCATCCAGGAGAATATCGAAGATGGTGAATCTGAATATTCAGAAAGTGTAAACATATCTGCAGCAGCTATAAGTGGAAATAAAATGCCTTTCATATATGATACCGGTGCATCGCACCACTTTGTGAGCATGAAATCTGCCTTTATTAACCTCCACGAGCGTATACATCCATTCAGATTTGACCAGGCTGTAGGAGCGATGGCTCTCACTAAGGAAGGAATAGCCCACATTAAGCTGGGAAAATTCAGGCTAGACTTACACAATACTCTCTACTCCCCGAAATCATCATGCAATATAATCTCTGCTGGTAGACTAGAGCGACTTGGGGGCATAACTATTGACCCTGTCAAGAGGTTTCTGGTGCGTAAAAATAAAGGTCAACCTGACATGCCCATAGCGCGTATTATTCAAAAGAACGATGTATCATACATCTTACCTCTGGAAGGTGGAGGGGAAAGTGTAACCCAGCAAATAGCAGCGCCTGGAGTTGCAAGAGTGCCCAAGACAAATAATACTCAACGATGGCATCAACGGCTGGGGCATGTTGGACAAAAGATTCTCAAGAAAACCTCACAGTGTTCTATAGGTCTAGAGAATCTAGATACTTCAGATCTAAGTTTGTGTGAGACATGCCATCTGAGCAAAGCACAACGCTTTGTCTCCCGCCAACCGAGACTCATACCAAACAGTCCCCTAGATGAAATATTCTTAGACACAGTAGGCCCAATAGCTCCGTCACTTCTCGGTCATCAATATGCTGTTATCATAACTGATGCCAAAACCCGCATGAGATGGGCGCTAGCAATCCATACAAAGGATCAAATTGCAACAACGCTTATCCAGTGGATAAATACCATGCATCACCAGTACGGTAAGCGTATACGTATAATATTTAGGGATGGCGGCACGGAGTTTACGCGGACCAGGGCTTACTGTGAACAACATGGCATACAGACGCACACCTCTGCACCTGAGACACCAGAACAAAACGGACTGTCTGAAGCGGCAAATAAGGTGATTTTAAGAGTAGCACGATCTATGCTCATTGATGCTAAAATGCCGGCTAAATATTGGCCCTGGGCAGTCCAACATGCATGTTTTATTACAAATAGACTCTTTTGTCTCCGGACTAAGCAGGTCCCACTAATAGACTTTCTTAAGAGCCTCAAACAGCCATGCCCAGACAAGGTTGACTTTAATAACTTGCCACGATTTGGATGCCGGGCATATAAGCTGACTGACCCCAGACCAAGCAAATTTGAGCCGAGAGCATGTAAAGGCTGGTTCATTGGATTCCAAGTTAATACAGATAAGAATTTCATTATTCACCACCCACATTGGACACCGATTAATGGGCAGAAATGGAAAATTAGCTTCACACCTCATGCAACATTCAATGAGGATGTAATGTATGGTGATGAATGCGAAAGATCTGACCATCAACAAACTATTGATTATTGGGCAGGAGATAATTCTATCTTTGCTGAATCGACAACGTCAACACATCAATCACCTTCATGGGCACCGTCAGAAGAAATTACCCAACAAGAATTTCAGGGGGAGTACTGCTCACAGAGCTCAAGCCAGCCAAACTCAATAATTCCTGACGCTAATGATTCCCAGCTTGATTCATCAATAGTTCCTCGTGA